ACTCGGGAGGAAATCAGTGTATCTCCTGAGCAGGATATTTGTGATGAAGTGAAAGAAGAGCACTCTGTGGAACTGGACACTGGCTCCCCAAGTGAGGAGTTGAGCAGTGCTAGAGAGAGAAAGAAACAGACAGTCTTACTAAAGGAAGAGGAGAGGAGTCAGCCAGCCAGAGCCCCTCAGCTTCTCAGGAGCCTCCTAATGAAGCAAATGCAGGAGCAGATATGAGCAAAGGATTGCCAAGGAATGCCTCATCCTCCACGGACCCTGAAATGGTGCTTAGTAGCTCCCCAGGGAAGCCTGAAGACTCATCCAGTTTGGATGGTCAGTCAGTGGGGGCCCTGACAGGGCTCGAAAGTGTGGACGAGAGAAACATGGCCCAAAGGAAGAGGAAGAGTCCTTGGATGACTTCACCCAAGATGAGGAAGATGAAATGTCATCAGCTTCTGAGGGATCTTTGCTTTCTGTCTCAGAACTCCAGGTGAGAGCTGGAGAATACTCTTGAGTATTTTGTGGACTCAGTAATATGTTTAAGTTATAGATATTTCACTTTGCTTGCTGCATTGTAGGTAGTCTGCACATCACTTCTAATTTTTTCAAAGGACAGAAGACCACGATGGAATTGGTATCGCCAAAGAGTAGCCATTTTAACATTGTTTAGCTTTGTTATGTTTTTCTAGCAGTTCACTTTAGTTTCCCTTGTATTTGTTAGCCAAGCGCAGAACCGTTTTCCCAGAAATAGCTATTGATAATTTACAACCCCCTTGTGAAGCCTGCTTTACACTGTGTATCTTTTCTACTCCGTTTGTCTTTCAGCCATGAAGAACCAGGATGACCTAGTCAAATGGGATCAGCCTTCCTGACAAACTACAAGGCCATCACCTAGAGTCATCAAATGTGTCACCCTCTGACCTTAAGGTGCCAGACCTGTTATCAAAGCCTATGAATGTAGTTGTGGAGATTTTTCTCACTAGTCCCACTCTGTTATAAAAACCTTAAATACGTGTTCTCCTCAAACCTTACATCACTCTCCTTTAGCACTGGTCCTTTCCCAGACCCTCTCCCTGGGAAGTATAATAAATTTTTTTGCTTTGTCTTTGCAGTTTGTTGCTTTATTTCTGTGGTACCAGCCAACCTCACAGACCTAACATTTTTGGTGACCCATATGGGGACTTTACACCTCATGGAGTTCCTTCTGTGCTCTCTTTTGCTGTCTCCTCTTTTCCAACCTGACCCTTTTTGTGTATTGTGCTGGAACTTGGTGGCATTTGATGGCTGTGGCCGGGGCTGCTCTCTGTCTGGCGAGTTCAAAAGACTCCCAGGAAGCCGGGCTCAGTGGCTCAGCCTGTAATCCCACGCCTTTGGGAGGCTGAGGTGAATGGACTGCCTGAGCCCATGGGTTCGAGACCCACCTGG